GAGGTAGGTCAATAACTGTCTTTTATGGTAGAGAAATAGGCAGACAGGTCGAGTAAACCTTGTCATTTCCATTGAGAAATCACTATGTTTGAGGGTAGTTAGCCCTCAGGTGGGTTTCTAGTTTGTTACTTTCTCTCCGGCTTGTGTTGCCTCGAGGAGCCTAGGACAGGTTTCCTTGACCTCCAGGTTTCTCTAGATGTACGCCACGTCCTCTGTGGTGGATGTGGGACCTTGTAATTCCCAGCGGAGACACGTCGCCGTTGGTGGTCCGGGTGGCGTGGGTGCACGGCGAAGAGTCGGGGCCCGGAGGGGCGATGGGGACGGCTGGAGTTCGGGGCGCCTGGTGCCAGGCATTTGAGGGAGTGAGTCGGGGCTCGGGTCTGGTCTCACCTTCTGGTTTTGGTTTCACAGCCGACCGAACTCATCCCCACTGGGCATGGTTATTATGAGGACCTTTCCCTCCTCCCCTCCCCCATTAAGCATTTATGTAGTAAGATTTCCCCAATCAACTTAAAAGCGATCGTTTCGTTCGTGGCGTCCTCTTGAGTTAGCGTCTCATCAACTTCAACACACGAACTGCTTCAAAACACACAACAACTAAACCTGGTGAAAAGTAAAGGAAAAAAATGTCAAGATTTTAACACTGAATTAAACAGGGCAAAGTATTGCTACAAACTTCTTCTACTTTGTAAATTGTGCAGCGCTGGAGTTAAGTATATAACACCGGCAAACACAAAAGTTTTTTGTTTTATTTTGGCCTTGCCGCGTGGCTTATGGTATCTCAGTTCCCCGACCAGGGACTGAACCCTGGGTCAGGCAGTGAAAGCCTGACTCCACTAGGCCACCGGGGAACTCCCCCGCAAAGTATTTTAAAACACTTGAAACATTTAAAACACTTAAAATTTGTGAAAAATAGTCGATTATGTTTAATAGTCAATTCACGAGTTCTGAAATAGTCCATTTAATCCATTGAACTCTCATTTTGTTTTTAGACGGTGAGACAAACACACTTTTGTTTATTTTTTTGTGCCGTGCCAGGCATCTTGCAGGATCTTAGCTCCCTGACCAGAGGTTGAACCTGGGCCCCCTGCAGTGGAAGCGCAGAGCCCTGACAACTGGACCACCAGGGAATTCCAAACACAATTTTTAAGACTGTAAACTGAGACCTTTTATATCCCAGCTATTCTGCTCATTGAGAGGTGTATCTACCCCTCTCCTGGAATCTGGACTTAGTGACTAGGCTGACCAACAGCATGAGGCCAAAGTAATGTTCGGGGGATTCTGAGGTTAGGTCAGCAGAAGGCTTGCAACTTCCTTCTGGGCCTCTGAGAACCCTGTGTGGGAGACTTGAGCTGTGAGTGAGAAGGCTGACAACTCTGGGGCTGCCATGTTGTGAGGAAGCTGCTGGTTTACAAAATGACTCCCCTCCCTCACTAAGGAGAGAGTAAAGAAAGAGGCAGGCCACGCTAAATTGGTAGATGGCAGGTTTAAGAGGCAAGGGAACTTACTAGGATTGCCTTGCGCGCTGAAAGAGTAGAAGATCTCTATCCCTGCCAGCCAATTCTTTTTTTTTTTTAAAGGTCTCTTTTTTAAAAAATAAATTATTTTGGTTGCGCTGGGTCTTAGTTGCAGTAGGTGGGCTCCTTAGTTGCAGCTCGCTGGCTCCTTAGTTGCGGCATGCATGTGGGATCTAGTTCCCTGACCACGGATCGAACCTGGGCCCCCTGCATTGGGAGCACAGAGTCTTATGCACTGTGCCACCAGGGAAGTCCCCCAGCCAATTCTTAAAAGTTTATACAGAAGCCTTAACTGGGTTGTCAGGTATACTGTCCAGATGGTCTCAACAACACCCTACTCCCTCAAGGCTTCATCATTCAGACAGCTCCCACTGTCTGAACAGGAGAGAAACAGGAGGGGAACAGGAGGCAAAGTGTACATTGCAAGGATAGGGGAGCAGGTGAAGAAACTTGATTGCCTGAGTCCAGCTCAAAGATCAACCAGTGGTCACAGCCCACCAATCATCTCCTTCAACAGAAGCCCAAGGCTTTGTGGAGAACGATGCATGGAAAAGAGACATGCTCAGGTTTTAGTCCCAAACCGAGACCCTAGACATTGGGGATCAGGGTAATGCCTTTCAAAACTGCAGATTTGGATAAAAATAGATGAGTGTTTTTGTTTTAAAGCTCTTAAGTTTTGGGGTGATGTTTTTGCGCAGCAAGAGAGAAATGGAGGAGGGAGACAGAAGTAAGCAAACAAATAAGTAACATGAAGTTGAAGGGGGACAAGTGGATTTAGGGTTAGAGAAGATGGGATGGCGAGAAGAGGGTGGGGTTGAGGGCTTACAGTTTTTGACAAGGGGCTCAGGGAAAGCCTCTCTGTTTCAGTTTGCTACATACTCGTGCTTTTCTTTGCTTGCTCGTCATTAGCATATGTAACCCCCAAGCAGCCACCAAAAATGGCAGGCTCAGCCCCTGAGTTTACTTGTTCTGTTACCAGTTGTAGGATTACAGCCAACTCCTTAGACTCTCTAATTCTTTTTTTTTTTTAAAATAAATTCATTTATTTATTTGTTTATATTTTTGGCTGCATTGGGTCTTTGTTGCTGCGCGGGTTTTCTCTAGTTGAGGCAAGCGGGGGCTACTCTTCACTGCAGTGCGCGGTCTTCTCATTGCGGTGGCTTATCTTTTTGCTGAGTACGGGCTCTAGGCGCGCGGGCTTCAGTAGTTGTGACATGTAGGCTCAGTCAGTAGTTGTGGGCCACAAGCTTAGTTCTCCGCGGCATGTGGGATCCTCTCGGACCAGGGCTCGAACCCGTGTCCCCTTCATTGGCAGGCGGATTCTTAACCTCTGCACCACTAGGGAGGGAAGTCCCAGAATCTCTAATTCTTAATTTTAAGTTTATGGGAGTAAATAAGTAATGACTCAATTTTTGTGGATCAGAATGAATATGGATATAAGGGCACATCCTTGAGGAGGGCCACAATTCTCAGGAAAGGAAAAATGGGTTCCCCAGCAGGTGTCTCCTTCACATCACTGTGACTCATGGGAGAGTATTGTACCTCGAAAAAGAGTTGGGTGGAACAATAGTTGAAAACCAGGGAAGGGAGTTCCCTGGCGGTCCAGTGGTTAGGACTCCGCACTTTCACTGCTATGGGCCTGGATTCAATTCCTGGTCAGGGAACTAAGATTCCACTAGCCAAAGGGCATGGCCAAAACTATATATATGTATATGTATATGTATATATATATGTATATGTATATATATATATATATACACATACATATATACATATATATACATATATATACACACACACACGCATACATATATATACACGTACATATATATATATGCATACATATATATATAAAACTGATCTCCCCTCCCCCTCCCCTCCCCGCCCCTTCTCGCGGCACCTCCCCCGCTTCCTCCTCCAGCCCCTCGCTTGGAAGATCTGCGCAGGCGCGCAGTGAGGGCGCGGACGTGCGGGCGGAAGTGGTGCTGGAGCGCTTTAGGAAAGGGACTTGCGGAGAAAGCAGGTACTCTGCTGACGTCTGTGGACGGTATCGGAGGGGGCAGGCCGCCATGAACCGCCTCCAAGATGACTATGACCCCTACGCAGTTGAAGAGCCTAGTGACGAGGAGCCGGCTTTGAGCAGGTAGGCCCCTACCCCGCCCCGGTTCCCGAGGCTTCGGGCCGAGGCCAGGCCGAGGCCTCCCCCTCTCACTGCGCTTGCCGGACCCGTGCGGATCCTCTGTCCAGCGGTTCGGGCCCCTGTCGCGCCTCGCTGTCGCCTGTGGGAGGCCGGGGGGGGTCTGGTGAGGTCGCGTAGCCACGGGGGAGGCGGGACCGACACTGGCGCGGGTAAGGGGCACATTCTGGAATTAGGCGTAAGATTCAAAAGCCGTGAAATCGAATCCTGCTTCTGCAGCTCCTAGTACTGTGACCGAAGGCAAGTCCTTTATCGTCGGTTTCTCATCTATAAAAAGGAGGTATAATAAGTATATCACGAGTATGTTGTGAGGCACATGGGACTTATTGTGAAGTGACCATCATGAAGACTAAACTGCAATAAACAGAAATAAGGGGGTATTTAATTTTTTTTTTTGAGCACCTATTGTATGCTTGCTGTGGGCTACAAAGGTCAGTCATAAGATTTTTGTCTTTGACAGGTTTAACGGTAAAGTAGGGGACATAAGATATATATATCTGGAAGATATATGTCTCGGAAGTAAACGTGTATCTCAGAAGACCGCTGTAGAAGATGACCTGGGATAGTCACAGATGAAGTTCTGTGGGAATTTCCGGAAGGGAGGGATTAATCCTATCTGGAGGAAAGTTGCAGTTATGTTGGCAAGGGATTTCCAGGAATATTTAGCCATTTTTTAAGCTGTCAGCAAATCCTGTTCATAAACTTTAAAACATTCTGTACAACTAAGCTTTCAGTGGAACTGTCCTTCTTTCAGTCACAATGTTTCCTTATATTATCCTGAGGAGGGGTTATAGGCATGGGAGATCACACTGCTCTGAAGATTTCTGTTGTGGGGAGTGAGGATGGATTCCAAGATTCCCTTATGAAGAATTTCAATTAATGGGTCCAATTTGTGAAACTGGACCTAGGCCTCAATTAGTAATTCAGTTTGATTGGATTCAGTGTTTCCCGAACTTGAGCTATTCTGCCATTACCATCCCCGTATTCACCCCTCTTATTATTTATTTAATCTTTTTCTTTAAGTTAATTTACATTTTTGTAGTTAAATGTCTTTTTTTTGGCCTCACGGTTTGCAGGATCTTAGTTCCCCGACCAGGGATTGAACCTGGGCCCCCAGCAGTGGAAGCACGGAGTCCTAACTACTGGACCACCAGGGAATTCCCATGTAGTTAAATGTCTTTAAAGAGGCTTTATATTCCTGTGACAGTTGCCACTGGTAAGGTAACGGTAAAAATAAATACTTTGAAAACAAAACAGTGTTATTAGGCAGTATTGCCCGCTCAAGGCTCTGAATCGAATGCTCATTTTAAAAAGGGAGATTGTGTTAGAGAGGTGTTTAAGAGGTGTCTCTCAGGATTTGATTTTACCATACCTAGAAGTGAATCTCTTATAGCGTAGTACTGTTTCATGGAAGCTGGCAGAACACATGAGTCTTCTGAGTTGGAGACACCTGACAGCAGAGCATACAGCATGAGCATCATGTTTGTGTTGGTTGCTCTTACTTCCCAACTCCTGTAGGGGTTACATGGAGAGGCCCAGATGGGTGCTACACATTCATTGGGCTGGTACCATGGCTGAGGACCACTTGAGCTTGGAGAATCCACCTCTTTTACAGCAAGCGGTAAATATGCCATTAGATGCCAGTACCTCCCAGTTGTGATAATCAAAAATATCTCTAGCTATGCCAAATGTTCCCTGGGGGGCAAAATTGCCCCCCAGCTGAAGAGTACTGGGGTAGTTCAAGGGTAATAGTGAGGGGTAAGGCTGGAAAGATAGGTTGAAACCTATCTTTCAGATTGTGGAAGGTTCTTTTGAATGCTGTACTTACAGTTTTGGTTATGGATGATTTTCTTTTGGATTTGGGTAGTGATGTGATGAGAGTTCTTTAGGAATAACATTCTGGCAGCAGGGTTAAGGGTGGAATGAAGCAGAGGAGTTTTGAGACCTGGAGATCCTTAGGCCATGGTGGTACAGGCAGAGTTAAGAGGACCTGAGTGAGGGAGGGATACGCAAGAGGGAAGAGATATGGGAACATATGTATATGTATAACTGATTCACTTTGTTATAAAGCAGAAACTAACACACCATTGTAAAGCAATTATACTATAATAAAGATGTAAAAAAAAAAAAAAAAGAGGACCTGAGTGAATATAGTGGTAATGGAGAAAGGGAGCATGCTGGTCAGGATGAGGAATGTCAGATGGGGAATTTTCTTGGAAGTAGAATCTGGATAAGTCCTCTATCATTAGCAAAATTGATTGGTGTGAATTGTATTTTTCTTATTTACCTTCTGCTTGAGGCTCACAAGCATTGTTGTAGAAGAGAAAAATAGAGAAGCAAAACCCAGGAATATCTGTAACTGTTCATCAGATCATGAATAATTGAACATTATGTGTGTACTATTGATTATAGTAGAAAAGTCTTAGGCATTTCATCTTGATAAACATTTCATTCCTTCTGATATCTCGTTTAATTCTGTCTTACTGCTATTGATGGGGAAACCCAGGCACAAAAGGCCAAGGAAATTGGCACAAATTGCTCAGGAGAATTTGGAATATAATTTAGCCCTCTCTCTTTTTAGTTCTCTGTAGCACCATGCCTTTTAAACTGTAATATTTACTTACTGTCTGTTACATTTTGTGTGGATGTATTAGCTATCTATTTGTTACATATATTAAGTTTTATTTAAGTATCCAGAGTTTAAAACAAACTCCCAGTTCTGTGAGGTAAATTTTTCATTGCTGATGGAATTATGAATTGGTGCAGTACTCTTGGAAAGTAGTGTGATAATTCTAGAAGTCAGAAAGATGTTTGCATCTAATTTTAGACATTTAACCTAAGGAAATCAACAGAAACAAAATTATATATACAGAGATATTCATTGTAGTGTTTAATAGCAAAGAGAAATAACCGTATAGCATCTGCAAGAGGAAATGTTATGCAGACATTAAAAAATATATTTGGAAATATGCAGAAATGGTTGAACTATTAAGTGAGAAGAGCTGTATGTAATGATAGCTGAATCAAATGCAACTTTATAAAACTTAAATTTGTTGGGCAGTGAGATGATAGGCATTTGAAGTTATTTTAATTCTTTAATATTTATATTCTTTATGATTTAAATGTGTTCTAGTTCTGAAGATGAGGTGGATGTGCTTTTACATGGAACTCCTGACCAAAAACGAAAACTTATCAGAGAATGTCTTACTGGAGAAAGTGAATCCTCTAATGAAGATGAATTTGAAAAAGAAATGGAAGCTGAATTAAATTCCACCATAAAAACAATGGAGGACAAGTTATCCTCTCTAGAAACAGGTAAACTTTTAGTTAGATTTTCATATAGATATTTTTCTAAGTTCCATAATGGCAGGGACCCTTATTTGTGCTCTGTTATGCCCCCAGCACTTTCAGTAGGTGCTCAGTAAATCATTGAATGAATAAATAAATGTGCTTGGCAACCTGAGCGTAGTTTTCTTTCATTGCAAGTGAAAAAGTTTCCTGTGTTGCTGGAAAGAGACCGTTTAGCATTGTTTACTTGTATGATTTCCTTTTGTAATTTTTACCTCAGGATAAAAGAAAAAAAGACACACTAGCTTATAGAAGTATATTTAAGGTTATATAGCACTGATACAGCAGATTGAATGATGTGTCACCACAAATTCCTGTCTCACTTTAGTAAGTAATGAAACATACTTCATTTTGATACTTGGTTTCTATGTAAAATATATCTGACTCGAAAACTTGTTTGTGAAGGTAGGACTCCTCAGAATTGGTTTCCATGTTGTTATGCTATATATTAACTGTTAAGAATTGAAAGCATATGTAATAATGATAAAAGCAAAAGTTAATTACGAGGAAGAATTAGGGATGCAGGCATATGATGGCATAAGTATAGGTGATGTCATGGCACTAGGCACAGCTGAGGAGAGGAAGAATGTGTCCTTGACTCATTCTGCCTGACTCTTTGTAGAGCTCTTATCCTCTTTCTTCTAAAGTTCCTTAAAACAAGATGTTTATTCCCTGTTCTCCACAGTATACTGCGTGGCTGAAAGGTAGAGATATATATGCCGGCAATGTGAAAATATGGCTATTTTATTTAATTAGATGTGCTTTTATCATTATTTATATATGCTTTCAGTCTCTTTGTGGGCAAGGAGAGAGAATAATTTCCTCATGATTTGGAACAGTTATTCAAGGAGGGGAAGTTCTCTGTAATTGCATAGGGCACAGAAATCCAGTAAGTCATTGATGTGAAAGTATTTTTCCACCCAAATGAAATTGGGAATGAGTTGATATCACTTTGAAGTGATGGAAGAACATATGGAGTTTTTTCCCTTGCCAATCCAGTATGGTTCAGTTTTTAAACTTCCCTTATGGTTTGACTAGGGTCTTCCTCAGGAAATGGGAAAGTTGGAACAGCTCCGACAAAGTACTATGACGATATATATTTTGATTCTGATTCTGAGGATGAAGACAAAGGTAAGTAACATGTTTACCAGGTTTAGCAGTTATATTTTATGGAGGAAGGTTTACCTAGCAATTATTTGATATTAGGTTTTCCCTTTGAGTTTCATCTTTTAAGAAATTGCAGGCAGTTGATGTGAAAATAAAAGCAGGATTGCGCGTAAGAACAGATGGGAACGCACCTGAGGACAGGGACTGAGGGTGGTGCTGCAGCGGCACGTCTGGGGAGAGGAAGAGTGTGTCCTGACTCAGTACCTCTTTCCTCAGGGCTCTTGGCCCCCCTCTTCCTTCAGGGTCTTTAGCACAGCAACATTTGCTTTCACAACTGCAGATAGTTTCTAGATTTTATTCTCTTGCAGAATTTTCCCTAACTTGTTGCTTTTTTTAAATCAATCAATCTCTCTGTTCTTTGGAATTGATTTTGTATAAATTTGAGCAAAGTTGAGCACAATGACAAGAGCTAAAACTAAATTATATCAGTAATTATGATGGAGTACACAAATAACTAATTTATACGGTAAACAATTTTATATTTTTATATGTTGTTACATTAACATTGACCTGCCCAAGTAGGTCTAGTGTATGTGGATGACCACAGTTTTTTTTTTCATTCATTTTTGTTCTGATTTCAGTAGCATTTTATGTATGAGAACTTATGGAGAATTTAAGACATCAAAAATAGTTTCTAGGGACTCCCCTGGTGGTCCAGTGGTTGGGACTCTGCACTTCCACTGCCAGGGCTCAGGTTTGATCCCTGGTCAGGGAACTAAGATCCCACAATTCGTGCAGCATGGCCAAAAAAAAAAAAAGTTTCTATTCTTGACTTACTTTGAGTGGCCTTTTTGAGACTCTGACGTCTCATTATTTGAACTCAGTTCTGAACTTTATTTGAAGGAATAGTTTAAAATATTTTTTTAGAAAAATATAACTAGAAAAAATATGTACCTTAGGAAACAGGTTTCTTCATTTTGTATAAAAGAGGTGTGGATTTTAGACATGATACTTAGCCATATCGTTAACATTTTCAAAACTAGCACAGGTGACCAAGAAAAAGAAGAAGAAACAACACAGAATTCCAACAAATGATGAATTACTATATGATCCTGAAAAAGATGACAGAGATCAGGCCTGGGTTGATGCACAGAGAAGAGGGTAAGAACTTAAATTTAAAATTAGAATCTTTAGGAAAAATGATTAAAAGATGATTTTCGCTATATTCACATTTTGAGTGTATGTGTATATGAAAAAACTGCTGAATAGTTTATTTTATAAATGAAAAGCAAATTTCAGTCAGACCATTGGTTTTTTATTTATTTAAAAAAATATTTATTTACTTATTTATAATTGAAGTATAGGTGATTTACAGTGTTGTGCTAATTTCTGCTGTACAGCATAGTGACTCAGTTATACACATACATACATTCTTCAGGCCATTGGTTTTTTAAAAACTGTTGTTGCATTCAGACTGCTATAGTCAGTCAGTCTCTCCCTTTAAGAAACAAAACTGACTTTTTTCAAATCAACAGTTTAAAATTACTTGGAGATTAAGAGTTTATGTGGGGAATTCCCTGGCGGTCCAGTGGTTAGGACTCCATGCTTTCATTGCAGGGGGCACGGGTTCAATTCCTGGTTGGGGAACTAAGATCCTATATGCTGTGGTTCTGCCAAAAGAGTTTATGTGGATAAACAGTGGATGTTATGTTTTCTACTTGAATGCTTGAATTGTTGTTTTTAACTATTTACAAATTTGATTTTTTTTAATTAAAACATTTTTTTATAGATCTTTATTAGAGTATAATTGCTTTACAATGTTGTGTTAGGTTCTGCTGTATAACAAAGTGAATCAGCTATATGTATACACATATCCCCATATCCCCTCCCTCTTGCATCTCCCTCCCACCCTCCCTGTTCCACCCCTCTAGGTGGACACAAAGCACCGAGCTGATCTCCCTGTGCTATGCAGCAGCTTCCCACTAGCTATTTTACATTTGGTAGTGTATATATGTCAATGATACTCTCACTTTGCCCCAGCTTCCTCCCGCCATGTCCTCAAGTTCATTCTCTATGTCTATGTCTTTATTCCTGCCCTGCCACTAGGTTCATCAGTACCTTTTTTTAAAAAAAATAATTAATTAATTAATGGCTGCGTTGGTTCTTCGTTGCTGCACTCAGGCCTCCTCTAGTTGCGGCTAGCAGGGGCTACTCTTCGTTGTGGTGTGCAGGCTTCTCATTGCAGTAGCTTCTCTTGTTGCAGAGCACGGGCTCTAGGTGCACGGGCTTCAGTAGTTGTGGCACGTGGGCTCAGTAGTTGTGGCTTGCGGGATCTAGAGCGCAGGCTCAGTAGTTGTGGCGCATGGGCTTAGCTGCTCTGCGGCATGTGGGATCTTCCCGGACCAGGGCTCGAACCCATGTCCCATTCATTGGCAGGCGGATTCTTAACCACTGTGCCACCAGGGAAGTCCCCATTTTATTTTTTTTAGATTCCATATATATGCGTTAGCATACGGTATACAAATTTGATTTTTTAAAGTTGAGGTAAAATTCACATGACATAATGTTAACCATTTTAAAGAAAACAATTTAGTGGTATTTAGTATATTCACAATGTTGTGCAACCACTACCTATATTTATTTCAAACAATTTTCATCATCCTTAGAGGAAACTCCATACTGATTTTTAAATTTGATTTGATAAAGGCTGATTTATCATAAAAGTGAAAGCTGGGCAACTTACCACTGTTTTCCCCTAACCTAGCTGTGCTTCAGAATCACCTGGTGAGAATGAAATGCAAACCCTCGAGTCCTACTCTAGGAGGTTTTGATTCCGCTAGGGTGGGGCCCAGGAATCTGTACTTGTCAAGCCTAGAGGGCTTGTGATGTTATGTGGGTCTTTGTGCACCACCCTTTAGCTTCCACCCTCCCACTTTGTCCTTTTTTCCTCTCCTAGTTTCACCCGTGCACCACTTCCTCCAACTGCCCCTTGCATTTATGTGATGAATATTTTTCACACTCATAGTGTGAAATGAACGTTTTAAGTGCTATGAGTGCTGTTGAAATAATTAAGGAGCTTATGGTCTAGCTCCTTATTCTGGTAACAGAATTTGTCATGGAAGTAAGATGGAATGTATTTTCATTCTTACATAATCTTGAGAAGAGATAACATCTTATTGACTTATTCACATTCCTGTGTCAAGCAGTAGTTGCCTTTTAAGACCACAGAAACCAGCTTCAAATAATGAATTCACTACATTTTAAGCACCACAAGGACAGTGATCATACCTGTCTTGTTCAATGCTGTATGCCAAGCTCTTGCACACTGCTATATGGGAACTTAGCACCTATTGAATGAATAAGTTATTTTCTTGGGGTTTGGGTTTTGAAATTTGCTAAGCATTGGAGGTATTTAACAACAATTATGAAATATATACCACATGGTCTCAGTATTTTTCCCCACAAATATTTAAAGAGTTTAGGAAGTAATGCCAAATGATTTGCATTTTGCTGTTCAATTTTTAGGTATTTTCTATAAGCTCCTTTTAAGAATATATACTTTTATACTTTAGTGTCTTCATAAGCAGATTCATGCTTTATTCTTTCAATCAGCAAATATCTGTTGAGAATTTACTATATGCCAGACACTGTTCTAGACTCTTGAAATACAACAGGGAACAAAACAGACCAAAATCCTTAGGCATTTAGAGCTTACAACCCTTGCTTTTTTTTTTTTTTAATAACTTTTATTGAAATATAGTTGATTTACAATGTTGTGGGGTTTTCTTGTTTTTTTGGCTGCATTGGGTCTTTCTGGTGTGCAGGGGCTTCTCATTGTGGTGGCTTCTCTTGTTGCGGAGCACGGGCTCTAGGCACCGGCTTCAGTAGTTGTGGCACGCCCACTCAGTAGTTATGGCTCGCGGGCTGTAGAGCACAGGCTCAGTGGTTGTGGCTCACGGGCTTAGTTGCTCCGCGGCATGTGGGATCTTGCCCGGCCAGTGCTCGAACACGTGTCCTCTGCTTTGGCAGGTGGATTCTTAACCACTGCACCACCAGGGGAGTCCACAACCCTTGCTTTTTATTTTTTTAAATTTATTTATTTATTTATTTATTTATTTATTTTGGCTGCGTTGGGTCTTCGTTGCTGCGTGTGGGCTTT